GCCCCCTTCCGGCCGGGGGCGCGCGGGCGGAGCGTCGCTCGGCGCGCGCGGAGTGGGGCGCAGGGTCCCCCTCGCCTTGGCCTGCGGAGCGGGCGAGATTTGTTTGCTTGTTTGTTAGCGATCTTTGTCTCCTGTCAACTTCTCTCACAGAAAAACTGTGGAAAGGCCAAGTGCCTCTCTTCACCACAGTCAAAACAAGTGTCGGCTTGGGCTCGCGGACTTACTGAAGTCCAAGGAGTTGAGGAGGAAGATGAAAGAAAGGCGCGTAATTGGTATTTGTCAAAATGTCAAAACTGGAGAAGACCAAACTTCGTGAAGTGCTACTTTTATGCTTAAGAAAGTTATATATCGTGGTTTTGTTATGTATGAAAATGAATTGAGAAAGAACGTTTAATCTGTAAATTCCACAATGAAGTTGGACATGGAGAAATGAAGGAAAATAGAGCAAGGAATGGCTAGGAAAGTATAGAAATATTTGCTTGGATTTTAGAGTTTACAGGATGCTACAAGAAACAAATGATGTCAAGGTTCAGAACTATTATAAAAATGCGTTTGGGCATCCCCCCCCCCCTTTTTAAATCTCATTTAGTACAAAGACTATAAAATCGTATTCAAAATCGCACACCAATTTCTGATGGTTTACCAATATCTACCAGATCATATCAAAAATACAGACTAACTTTCCAGAACCACCATTATATTCTGGGCCTATGTATATGTACTGTGAAAATAGAAGGGGTGCTGGGGCGCCTGGGTGGCTCAGTTGGTTAAGCGACTGCCTTTGGCTCAGGTCATGATCCTGGAGTCCCGGGGGGATCGAGTCCCGCATCGGGCTACCTGCTCAGCAGGGAGTCTGCTTCTCCCTCTCCCGCTCCCCCCTCTTGTGTTCTTTCTCTCTCTCGCTCTCTCTCTCAAATAAATAAATAAAATCTTAAAAAAAAAAAAAGAAAATAGAAGGGGTGCTAGAACATTGATACTAGCTTCTCATTGGCTTGAAATTTCACTTTATTCTTTTTTTGAATCTTAAAAGACTTTTCAGTCTTCAAGAGTCCTATAGGAAACTGCAGCTAACAATTTAATGGTCCTTTAGAATAGGCTAGAGCCTAGTTCCCTGTAGGAAAGGCAAGAGAGAGAGAGTGAGGGAAGTAGCAGGAGAGGAGGCTCTGAAAGGGGTGGTCAAAAGCCACACAGAACAAAATATGCTGTCTTCACAGTTTCATTCTGGGCCCTGACAGACCCCGCCCTACTCATCTGGGGCTCCTAGCTTCAACTCCATTTTCTCCACACGCTGTTGCTGTCTCTATGTCCTTGCATCTCAGTGTGTTGCTGTTCTTTCTGTCCAATACCTTCACATATTTCAAGATCCATCTGAGTCAGAACTTTTCCTCAACCACATCTTTCCACCACTTCTGGTCACATCTCTCCCACAATTCCCTGATACACAACTGAATGTTTAGGTCTCTTATGTTGAGACTGAATTGTGCAGTAAATAATATGACTGGACTTTGAGGGTATGTTTGACTTCCCAGCCACACTGTAAACTGTGAGAGATTAAAGAACATTATTCTGTATTCTTCTTGTACCCCTTACACTTTTAGTACAGTGCTAATCCCACCAGGAACATGACTTCTGTTGAGGTAAATGTCCTGCTCTTTATGTTCTTCAGGATGGACAAATGGATAAAGTATTTGCTTTATATTGTTTCTCTAAGGCCTATTTTTTTTTTTAAGATTTATTTTAGAGAGAGCACGCATGCCAGCCTGAGTGAGGGGAGGGTCAGAGGGAGAGTGAGAATCTTAAGCAGGCTCCGCCCCCAGCTCAGAATCCCTTGGGTCTGGATCTCACCACCCTGAGATCATGACCTGAGCCGAAATTAAGAGTCTGGCACTTACCTGACTGAGCCCCTCTAAGGGGTACCCCTCTAAGGCCTATTATTTATTATTTAGTTTTGTTGTTTAAATACTTTTAGACAACAAAGAATTTTTGGGAAAGGCAATAGTGAACCATATTTTATATTTAAAAACCAACCACCAGAGTCAAGCTATAAAGAAAGGGGGGGGGGTGAATGCCAGCAGGTGGTAATATTAGAATAGAATATAGAAATTGTTGAATCTCCAATAGCACAATTGTATGTTTTCTTCTACATGATAATTTTTAAAGCAAAATGTTAAGGGTGCAGAAATAGTAGGGAAGGAAATCCTTGAAACAGCAAGCTATTTAGAAATGTAAAGGGTTTTAATTGCATTCTCAACTTGGAAATTTTTTTAAAATGCCCAAGTTGTTTTATTTATTTAGTAATGAAAGCCATATCACACATGAAGAGAGTCTAGTTATTTGCTTCTTCAAGGATTTTTTTCCCCAAAAAGTACTGTATTGTGGACCACACTGCAGAAGCTCTGCGTAAGGAATAATGTCTGATTCACCTATGCTTACAACGTAGAGGAACAAACAAATTTATATTAGATGTGGATAATTCCATCTAGCAAGTTGTAGTGGAAACAGTAGGGTCTTTGGTGTCAGACTGAAGTTTGAAATCTGTTTCTGTGTCTTTCTAGTTTTATGGCCTAAGGCAAGACAGCTATTATCTCGTCATCACATTCCTCATCTGTGAAATAGCAATCATGATAACAACCTTCCCAAACTGATGTGAGCATCACATGGAATCACATGGAAGTAGGTGCTCAGGATAGCTGCTGGAATTGTTATATTGCAGAAGGCAAAAATCAATTTTATAATAGGGAGATTGTTCTCATACTGGTAAGTGACATCTATGTGCTTATGCAGATGAATTTTTTAAACGGCATAAATTCAGGCTAGGAAAGAAAACATACTCTGGTTAGACAGTTTTAAATGGAAAAGCTTAATCAGAAATGAAACATTATGCTCAGTTTAATTACTTTAGTTATTTTCTACTTTTCCAGACCTTAAATATGCCTCAAAATTACTAAACAAGATTTACTATTAAGTTAAGGCATTTTCTAGTTATTGCATTGTTTGTCCAATAATGTTTATGTAATCAAAATTTTATTTTATGCATCAAAATCTTAATAATACAGACTGAGCAGAAAGTGGTAGCATTGCAGTTTACCACATTTTCACCCCTTGTTAAGACAAAAGGACGGTGGGAGGTATAAGTTAAGTAGAATTGCAGATTAAATAAACAGAGCAGCATTTTATATTTCAGTAAGATTGCCTGAGAAAAGAATTCTGTATGAAATAAGTTTGGAAAATACTATATATTATGTCCCCATCTCTCCCACCCCAATCCAGTCACAATGAATGTAAGAGACTTGAGAAGTAAATTCTCAAGATTTATTGGGGAAAAAAAAAAAAAAGAAGAAAACTGGTTAACTTCATTTTACCCCGTATTTCTAAAATTCATTTGAACATGAAATCTTTTGGGCCAGCTCAATCTAGCTACTAACATTTACAGTGGAATAATTTGCAACAGGATAAAAGAGGATGAAAGGAAAATATTATTCAACAAATGAATTATTTGAAAACTTTTAAGGTTTATTTACAAACCATATAAATGAATAATGAAAGGTGGTTAGTCTGACTTAAGATTTTTTTCTGATACATTTCTTTAAGTCATTATTAATCATGAAAGTATTTTTAGTTGTGTATATTTTAAAGTAATAAAATTCATCTGTATAGTCTATAACTTGAACCTGTGACTTATTCTTAGGGTTTTTCCACATTAGCAAAAATTTGGGGAGTATTATACTAGTTCATTGTCCTCCTAAGTAAGCAATAATATAGCATAACAATCTGCTATTTTGATTTCCCTTATTTTCTCACGTATACATCAGAAGGAGAAGCAGGTGTTAATACCACTGGAACTTTGCCTTGCAGATTATGTACATAATCTGGGTAAATTTACATATTTTCTAATTTGTGCATGTTGAAGACTTGTCATTTTATCATCCATTTCACTGTCCTCAGATCACAAGTTCTTCAGTTTGCCACATAATGCTAAATTTACCCTCTCCATGGTAAAACCTTGTAGATAGCTTGTTTTCTTTTCAGTGGCTCAATTCTTTGGTGTTTCTGAGCAACAGGTAAGAATAGCTTATCTATTCTTCATCAACAATTGATTGAGGCAAGATTATGTAACAGAATAAGCTTTATTTGGTCTGTTTCATGAATTCATGAAAGTTTAGATCAGTCCTTTTTTCTTTTTCTTTTCAGTCCTGCCCTAAAATATTGTTTTTAAAGATCTCTGACATTTTGAATCATAAAAGCTTTTGAAGAGGTACATCTATCGATATTAAATACTCAGATATTAAACATTTTTATGTGGTACACAACAAAACAAGAGGATGTCATTATTGCATTTCCCAGTTTTAATACTGTCCTATTATATGATCAATGTATTGATAGACATTTTCTTCCTATTTTAATTTCTAGCTCATGTCACACATATTTCCTATTTGAAGCCATTTAGCACTTTAAAAAGTTTTATAATGCATATATTTGAAATTATATACTTGTAAATCTTCCTACTTCATTTTATGAGAATCAAAAGAGGTTGGTGACTAGATGAATCATATCTAATACAGATGTATCTTTAAAAGCTTTAAATGGTACTGACCTCATAGACAGTTCTTTAACACACACATACACACAATGTCTTTTTTAAAAATAATTCTTATGTGTGCCTGAACCTGAATAAATATAAACTGCACTGCCTCTCCCACCACATTTCCCTTCTCTAATCTCCTTTCTGCAGCAACTTCATGCCCATCTCAGAACAAACACAATCTGCATTCAGAACAGGACCATTTACAAGTTCAATGGAGTTATTTTGGGTGAGTCATTGAAAACACAGTACAAAACCTTTCCTCACTCACCAGAAATGCATTTTTAAAATAAAGCCAAAGTGAACAAGGCTTGGCAAGTTTGAGGGTGGACAAAATGGGGAGAGAGCGGGGTTTCTGCCAGACTCAGACAGGATTTTGCTAAACCATTTTTGTCTATTCCTTACATTTAACTCTACCAATTTTTCTTACCATCACTGACCAAAAAGTGTAAGATGGAGCAGGTGGGACATCAAAATAAGGACACTTCAATTCAACCACCACTGTGATACTGAGTAGAACCAGCAGATCCCTTATATCTTAGCATCAGTTAAGTCCCCCTTTTTGTCATTCTTTAATTCAGAAGCTATAAGATGCATCCACTGAATAATCTCGTTATGCTAATTAAATCAATTTTGACAAATTAATAATAACTTTAGGCATTTTTTAGAAAGTTATATATAAATTTGGTATACAAGTCTTTAAAATTGCTTTTAAAATAAGAGAAGTTCCATGAGAGTTAATTAAACAATAAAATATTAAAGGAAATAGAGCTATAGAGACAGAAAATAATAAGCTAATTCCTAAAAAAACTTTTGAAATTGAATTAATATAATGAAAGTCTATACAATGGCTTGATACATTTTAGACATTTAACAATCAGGTATTCAAGATTTATGAATCAGTGTAGATTCTTCTTTATCTATATAACATATTACTCACCCTTTATCCTGCAGAGAACTTTTTAGCAGAAATACAAGTAATTACTCTTCCACAACTTGGTACAAATCAGTTGAGGCTCACATCTCATGAATGAGGAGAAACCTAGAAAAAAATCAATAAAGGGAGATTCTTAAACATATAATGATAATTCAGAATTCCTTTGCTATAAAATTTGATAGGCCATGAAAGCCACCTTTAACACAGGTTGACGCAGCAAGTTACTGTGTGGTAATTGACACAACCTGTAGGCGGCCCTACAGTTAGAATTGTTCACAAGGGGTCTGTCTGAAAGCTGCGGGGACAAGCCAGGTTCTACTAGATGGAACTATGCAAATGTTCTCCTTGAACTCCCTGCAAATTATCAGTTTCCACAAGTCAGGGTGACAATTATTGGTTAAATGGAATGAAAACTCTGTGAAAGTTAATCTGGCTATGAAAGCACTAGGGTCATAATAAACAAACACATATTTCCTGCTGTAGTTTAAGAGCATAGCCAAAAACTCTGGTTTCCCACATTTGGGGAATTTTTTCCTTTTCTTTTATGGTTAGGCAATTGTTTCTAAATTATAAAATAAGTACTTATACAGCCTTCAAAGCTTATCTCGACTATCTAAGAATGATTTTATCACATTTAGTTGTATTTAAATATAATCAACAAACGATCAAAAGTTAAAGGAACTAAATATCTATTGATGGGAACCCAAAACTAAGAACTTCCCCACAATCTTATTTCAAATCCAACAGAAAAATGAAACAAACCTCCATTAAAATTTCTCTGGAGCAGGCAAGAAAGGTAGCATAGTTGGCCTGGATTACACTAGCACTAAATCAAACAGCTTAAAGTTCTGTTTATTAATAGACTGTTATTATATAAAAGAACTACAGGGTAAAGGTCAACACACAGGTTGTTTTGGTTAATTTTTTAAAAATCCCCTGAGCCTGTGTCTTTCCAATTTTTTTACTAGTCAGCCAAGTTGGCACCTTAAAACCTTTAACTACTGTAATTATTATAATAGTGCTGATATTCAATTTGGACAAGTGGTGGTAGAAGAACAATTATTTCAGGGGACCCAAGGAAATAACAACGTTGAAAATGGATACTTTTGATTGAGCACTTGCTTTGTGCCAGACACTGTACTTAGGATTGGATTTACAGTGTCTCATTTAATACAACTCTATAAGGACTTGTATTATTCTCACTTTATAGTTAGGGAAACTGAGCTTCAGAGAGGTTAATACTTGCCCCAGGCCATGGACTAATAAGTGGCAGAGTGGAACCAGGACTTTTCCCCTGCAAAGTCTACGCTCTCACCTAAGATGTGTGACTGTCTCCTAGTACTCCAGATCCACTGTTAGAGAAACATTAGTAATCACTTACTCTCTTCGGACCGAGGAGATTCTTCACATATAGCTGATGGGCAGAGGGTCAGTGTGACTCAGAACTGGAAGGAATCCTAGGGAGCCAATTACCTACTACAACTCCCTCATTTTATAAAGGGAGGGAAACTAAGCTCAGAAACTTTAAGTAGCCTGCTCAAGGTTGGCTATGTAGTTAGTGACAGAATTAATTAGGGACAAGGATCCAGATCTCAAAGCCCTACAAACATTGATAAAGGCAAAGGTAGAAAAACTGCTTTTATCTTATCAAATGTTCTGAAAAACTTGGAGAATATAAAAACAAAGATTTTAGTATCTAGGCTTCTTAAGGGGATGTAATATTACAATTTATCAGTAAAGGTGATACCTCTGGCCGAAAATTTATAGCTGCACCTAGCCATCTTTCTGGAGAGGACTCAAGGTTGGGGACAGTGAGAATCTCTGCAAACTTGAGTATATCATTCAACTAATTTTTGAGTCCTTCTAGGATAACATCCTATATTCTGTTAGATACAAAAACCCAAGACTGTAGCGTCCCTGGCCCAGCCACATTCTTGTACTCAGAGAACTTTCTCAGGGGGCATCACACTCTTGATCAAGAAGAGAGAATTGTTGCTTCTTAACCTAAAATCTGGTCTTCCAAGTAAGCCTTAATTGCCTAATAGGAGACCTGAAGTTTTAAGATTTCACCTTTCACCTAAAAACTATTTAAAATTCTATTTTAAAGAGAAACAATATTCAGAAAGTTTTTCTGAAGGGTAATATTCCGCCACTACTGTGACTAATATATATGTGAGTATTTCAATATGTTAATATTTAGCCATTCTTTAAAGCAGACCAGCAAAGACCTGGGTGTCTCAATAGTACCAAATGATTTCCAAAAAGATGGTTTTTACAAAATCTCTCTGGTTTGTAAAATGGCATCTGTCTATATTGATTCTCAATATGAGCAATGATGTGAAATGAGATGCGTTTTTTCTAATAAGGAGTCTTCCCAGAAGTTGTTAAGTACATCACCCTGTGTTCTCTTTAGGAGAAACTCAGAAGAAATATCTTTTTACAATATTTTTTCCAAGATGAGTTGAAATTACTGGGACATTTTATTCTAATCTCCTGGGCACCAGGACTTGGATAACTAACAAAGTTTCTGTTTTTAACATTGGTTACTAGAAAATTGAAAGCCAAATGTGTGGCTCACCCATGGTAGATGAGTAGGTCATCATGGTATGCATTCTAAACCTTATTCATAGCTCTACTTTGTCCCCACCCTTTTTTTCTTCTTCTTCTATTTTTTCTTTTCTCAAAATAATATTTTATAATTTTTTATATTCTTTTTCTGCACTATGACAAGGAAAAGCTAAATATGTAAGAATAGTATGCAAAATTATGTTTACTATACAAATATATATATATCCATAGAGGAATATTAGGAGGGAAATAAAGCTGCTCCATTACAATGACAATATTATGGCTTTTTCTTTTATTTTCCAAACTTCTTGAAATTGCATTTACAATTTAGGGAGAAAAAGTTATTTGAACTTTGAAAACTCTAGCTATTTATTCCAGAGATAGAAGTATGGGAAATATTTGCAAACCCCCCTACAATGTACTTCAGTTTGATTATGTTAAAGCAAGTTAGGAACTGTCATAAAGTGAGGTTGGAATGGTAGGTGAGATCCAAATTTCAAAGGCCTTGGTGTGCTATCCTAAAATTGTGTTATTGCAAGTGGGAAGTTAGAGGCACCTTTCAGTTTTTAACTAAAGTGCTTTATTGAAAGATAACTAGTAACTATCTAGCTGAAAGAGTCAGACATGGGAAGTTGTTAGGCAAAGGAGCTAGTTAGGAGGCTTATTAGTATGGGGCTTGGGGATACGGAGGTTAATACAGACTCAAGTTAGACTGGTAGGAATAGGGGCTGCAATCAGATTTGACAAATTGGAAATGGGTGGAAAGAAAGAAATGGAATGATCTTCAAGGTTTTTTCTACTTGTAGGTGCATGGATAGGTATTGGTGTTATTCAACATGATAGAGAATTTAGGAAAATTTGGGATTTGGCATTAATTTGTTTAGGAGTAAGAAGAACAAGAGAGAGGAAAGGAAATGAGTTCATTATAGGACATATTAGATATGAGGTACTTATAAATATACTGATGGAAATGTAGCCCCAAGCATTTAAAAATACAGTACAGAGCTGAAACTCTGGATGAAAGTTTGGCTTAAATATTATTATAAGGTATGTGTGTGCTTGGACTCACTAACACTAGACAGCCATGTTTCTATTTCCCAAGTAAACTATTCCCAATATATCAAAGCAGTAGTCCTCAATGACTTCTAAAATGCTAAATCCTCTGGATCCTTTTCAGCACTCATTTTATAGTTATCTTTATAGCTTTTGCAGGACTGACTATTCCTCTCATTTCTTTCTTGATCTTACATTTTCCTCTTCTCCTACTTCTCAGTCCCCTTCACTGGTTTTCATTCTTTTACCAGCTTTATTGTTGTGTTCTTGAGAGTTTCCCTCTCTTAAGTGTACACACTCTCCCTGGCTGAGGTGGAGAAGACTGAGAGTGGAGAAGTTTGGGGAGAAACAAAAGTTTGTCAAATGTATTAAGTTTGAAAGCCTGTTAGACATCCAAGAGGATATGTTGTGCAGGCATTTAGATACATGAATATAGAGTTCAAGGGAAAAATCTGGACTGGAATATAAATTTAAGAGTCATCAGCATATAAATAGTATCTACAGCTAAAAAACTAATTGGGGCCAGCAGGGGGGAATTGGTGGAAGAATGGTAAAAAGAGATGTCTGAGGATAGTGCTTGGAGTTTTCCACATTTTAAAGACAAATAAATGAGAAGAATCCAGCAAAAGAGGCTAAGAATGATCAGTTAGTGCAACCAGCAAAGTGGGAAG